GTTTGGGCCAATTCAAATGCAATCAAGATCAATCAAGGGAATGTTGGTAAAGAAATCACAAAGTTATTTTGAAAAGCACGTCGGACGTCGCAGATATTTCACGGCCGGGGTGCTCAAAAATAGCTGCAGGAGTACATGAATGATCTCAAGGCTACCAGTTGGACTTGTCATCTCCCGGCAGAGTGAAGTCACCAGTGGTGGTCATAGAATCCTTTTTTTGATCACAAGTTACCGGCTTAATGAGGCTGCTGTAGTTGATTGTTTCTTGTTTCATATAGCCGTTATTGTTGGGAAATTGTTGGCCATATCCCAACAAACAGCGGGAAAAAAGGGGGGAAGAAGGTGACCTGGATGAATTTCTTGGTTGTTCCCAACTCCTCGCCCTAACGTCTTCGATCTCCCTACCGTTACACTATATCAATGACATCTCCATGTTCCTGTAGCCATTTCCCGACACATGATGTGTTAAAATGGTGACTTTATTTGTCCTGAGAATACCATGGTGATACATACTGTATGGGTTTGTCTGAACTCCAGTGGTTTATCATCATGTTACCTCGTAAAATTGCCATTTCAAGGGCGCGCCCCATTTTCAGACACCCAAAATGTCTTATTGTTGGTTACATGTCCCATGATATTCCCCGTTCTGGTTGGTTAAAAAAAGGACCTTCGTTAGTTTTCTCTTCCATCTAAACCAACGTTAGTAACATAGTTAGCTATATCAGCTATACTATATGAAATATACATATATTGTTGCATTTGAAGTTGGTCAAACCAACCATACTTCTCTAACTTATCTAACTCATTTAGTAGAATTGCTTGGTTCCCATCATATCCCCACGCTTGGTGAAGGTGCTCTACGGGACGATCCAGGCATGGCCTGGGACGCTGCACCTGCTACGTCGCCTCAAGGAGATGGAGGTCCCAATGGCCATCGCCACCTCCAGCCCCAGGAGCAGCCGTGATGTGCCCGTGATGTTGGCGGAATACCATAGGAACTAACCATAGGAACTATAGAATACCTGGTTGGTGGTTTGGAAGATTTGGATGATTTTTCCATATATTGGGAATAATCATCCCAACTGACCAATATTTTTTCAGAGGGGTTGAAACCACCAGATTTTCCAGATTTTCTGACCAGCTGCTTGCTCGGGAGGGAGAGCGAAGCAGTCCCAACTTTGTGGCCCCGCAACGCCCTCACCTCATGGCAGTGCGTGTGCCACCTTTCGCTACTGCCAAGGGGAGCCTATTCAGTGCTGCCGCATCTCGGCTGCACGGCCCCTTCAAATGCGAAGCTAACCAAGCGTCCACCTTGTCGATCTGGATCTGAGGCCAAGGTACAGAGGCAGCGGGCAAATAGGCCTGAACCATGTGTCCTGCCGGACGAGTCTGAGCCAGCGCTGCATCAATGCCTATCTCCTTCCAGACTGATTTGACAAGTTGCTTGAACCAGCGAACGCGCTGTTTGAATTGGAACCGTTCGGCAGCCACATACGTTCTCTGATCGGTGTCGATCCACTGCCCATTGATACGAAGAGGTCCAGGATGATTCCACGCCAGTTGATAGTCGATGTACAATTGGCTGAACGTCATCCAAACCACTTTGTTGGAAGCTGGTTGCAAACGCTCCCACAACCATTGAGACACCCTTCTCACATGGGTCGGGCCAAAAAGCCTTGCTGCCTTCGGTGGGGGTTCTCCGCTCCAGCCACCGAGGGAAAACTTCTGCACGAACTCCCTTGTCTCTTTTGGCACAATCTCCGGGCAATCACCTGTTGCAACCTCTGCACATACGTGTCGTCTCCCAACAGCAACGTGTAGGGCCCGAACCTGCCCAGCAAGCACATCCACTGCGAAAACTTCCCTCACATGTTGCTCCCACTGTAGCCAAAAAGCGGCAGGTCTCGCTTGATTTGCCAAACGGGCTGCTCGATCTGCAACTGTGTTGTGAAAGAAGGTCCAAGCGTCGTGCAAAGTTCTGGCACTCTGCAACGTCCGGTGTGCTTGGACCTTTCTCACCTGCACGTAATCGCGACCCAATGTCTCCACTGAATCTGCGATCCACAACCACAAATCACTGTTCGGCCTGTTGCAATTGATTCGGCCTGCACCCCAAACCAGCAAGTGGAACTTGTTGACAACCCCAAGGCAGTCACACCACACACGGATAGGGGCCCGCGCACGCGCCGCACAAGACAGACTGTAAGCCAACGCAGTGAGTTCAGCCCGGTAGGCAGACTGACAAAGTCCAGACAGGGCAGCGGCACCAATGACAGAGGCAGCAGCAGGAGTCCAGGTGTCATGGAAAGGGCGCGCCAGGACGGCAGACCAAGCCGCCACACGCACGGAAGGTTGGTTTTGCCAGAGGCAAGAGCCATCGGTAAAAACATCGTTCCAGATCCCTGGCTTTAAATCCACAGCCGGCTCAGGCATTTCGGTGGGCAGTGCAGCAAGAAGGGACATCCAGGAATTCCAAGTCGAGGGGAGCAGTGACCACCCACGCAAGGACAAAGCAGTCGGAAGCAAGTCAACTAAACGCGTCGCATCTGGAGCAAGCTGACTTCTCAAATCAGCATGTTGAGGGCATTCCCAGTACCTGTGGCGCAGGGAGTCGGAGGCTCCACAAAACTTGCAAGCATCTGTTTGCTGCGTCCACTTGGCCTTGTACCGCTCAGTGAAAAGTCCACCAGCCAGGCTGAACCGCAGGAGAGCCTGATCATCTGCAGCGAGCCCTCTCAGAGCCTTGCGTGTGGCCACCAAGTCAACTGCATCCAACCCTTGAAAGTCCAAACGGTGCGACACTTGGGCAGCGACAACACGACACCAAGCACGTTGCATCCGCAATTCCACTTCATTGAAGTTGGATGTTTGAAGACAGAAAGACCCAAATTGGTCAACGAGCCGACCTGAAGAAAGAACCGAAAAACCCGCATGCTGGAGGCGATCAACCAGGATGGCCGTCAGAGAGTTGGGAGGCAAGTCCAAAAGTCCATGTGCGAAGGGAGCAACACTGTGGAGCCAGAACTCCGGGGGACAGTGGGCACGCACTTCACGGCAAGTCCAAAGCAAACCAAGGAACTGGAGATCAACAGCAGCCTCAACCAAACCCAACAAGACATGACCATTGACACCGGGACGGTGGAAAGAAAGGGCACCAGTAGCTCTCCTACGGAGTTCATGCCATTTTGAGTTACCCACAGGAGCACTAGCAACGGCATGTAAGCCACATGGCCAGGCCACAGCACGCAGCATGTACACCTTGGCATGGTGTCGAGCCTTGCTGGCCCGCAGTTTTGGCCAGAAGTCGTCAAGGTCTTGGAAACGGTTGACCAAGGTACGGTTGGTGTACTGTTTGGAGATACCCATGTGCCCACCCAATTCTCTGGCATGGTGAAGAACAGTGATACCAGAATCCCGGAGTTGCTGGCGAACAACCGGGTCGGTGGACCACCCAAAAGTCTTCCGCCGATCAATGGTCAAGTCCAGGTGACCTGCAAACTGCTCAACCAACTGTAACTGACGCACCGCGTAGGAAGGATCCCAAGCATAGGTCTGCCAGTCGTCAACATAAGACAAAGTCCGAATAGCTGGGGATTGGGCTCGCATCCAGCAGGCAAACAGATGATCAACCAAAAGCATGCCATAGACACTGAGGCCACACCCCTCAGCAAGTCCAGTGGAGGTCAAGAAGCCTTCCGAATACGACTCCCGAACCTTGAAGTGTCGTTTCATGGAGGCCAACGCACCAGCCCACGCCGTAGTAACACTGTCAGGCGTCCCAACCAACACCGCAAGGCAAAGTGCAGGAAAACGTGGAATACAGTTGAAGCATTTTTCAATGTCTGCTGACAACCCGCAAAGCGGAACTTGGGCACTGTAGGCTGCCTCAATCTGCGAAAGCAAGTGGAACCACAAATCAGAGGCTTGACGCCCTGGTCTGTTACCGAAAACACCATCGTCAACCCAGCTGTCAGCGTGGGCCAGCAAATGCCTTGCTTGCAGGCTTGACCAGAGGCGATAGGGCAGCCCAAAGACAGTTATCGGCCTGTAGTCGCCAACACTGGAAGCTGAGTCGGACTTGGCCAATGAGATGACCTTTCCGGCGAGCAATTGTGCTGGCCACTCACCATCAGTTTGAGCACGTTCGTAAGCTCGGGTGAGCGATTGGAAAACGGCATCATCAGCAGCAATCAAGTCTGCTCTGCTAACTCCATCAAGTCCAGTAGCTGAGCGCTTCTTCTTCCTATGGACTTCGGCTCTGAGGAGGGACACATCAAGACGCAGAGACGGGATGGACTGCGGAGTCAAAACACGACGGGCAAATCCAAGCAGCTGCTCCCAATGGTCAAAAGCCAAGTGATCATGACGACACCAGCGGGCTTTCCATTGCTCATGAAACTCTTCAAACAGGTCCTGCAAGCGCCCAATGTGCGTAGACTGTTTGACCTTGTCAGAGGGCTGAACTCCTTCAAGGTCAGAAATCCAAATCTTGTCAGACTCAGCGTGGATAACTTGTTTCTGTTGTCCACCGATCCAAACAGGTTGGTTGGCATCAAGGTTGACAGGCTCAACCAGTTCAACAGCACACTGGGTTGGGTCAAGCTGCGCAACAACAGAAGACACAGAGTGGACAAGGGATTCAACAGGTGCTGCCGGCTGGCGGGCAACTTCACGGAAGATCAGGAGCCGATCCTTTTCATGTTGGGCAGCTCTGTGAGCCTGTTGAGCAAAGGCCAAATTGCGCTCGAAGGCGCGGACTTCAGCAAGCACAGCTTCAAAGACCTGGTGGGCGATCTGAGAGTTAGGGGCATGTAAAGGCAAGTCCACAGGGTCAAGTTGACTGACATACAGACGCCCATACCACCAACACCGAAAGTTAGGCACAAACCCAGGTGCTCGGAGAATGGAATTCCAAAGGTCAATACCATGGGTCCCATCGCCAGTGCCATCAGTTTCAAAGGAGGAAATCCAGCGGCAATAGTTTTGCAAACGGCGTAACTGTCTGAATTGTTTCACATGGACCGCGGAGAACCCGTGAAACCCAGGCTGAACATCAGACTTCCGGCCTTGCTTGATGGGTGCAGGAATTCCACGCTTCCTGGCCGGCTTGAGTTGTTGACCTCTGCCACCCATTGCAGGAATCCACTCAGGCAAGGTAGCAGCTGCAGCCTGCTCTTTCATCTGCCACATTCGGGCATACTGGGCAGTGGGGTCCACAGGTGAAGCAAAGGACAGTGGCTCCGGAAGTGCATGCTCTGTACCCCAAGACACCGGTTTCGGACACGGCCAAACAAAACTGTCAAGGTGATGTGAACCTCCTCGGAACTGGGCGATGATCACTGCATGATCAGCAAAAGTCTCCAGACAAACGCGCACACCAGACAAAACCATAGCCAACTCAGGTGAAATCCAGAGGAAATCCTTGCGGGTGGCCCCGCGGCAAGTGTTTTGAACAGGGGCGCCAGTCATGGAATGCCACAAGTCCTGGACCTCAACCCAACCTCTAGCACGCAAGACGGGAACAATGGCCAGGTCGGGAAGCTGAAAATTCCAGTCGCCACCAATGAACTTCGGACCTGGGAAGGACAAAAGGTGAGAGACAGCAAAGTCCAGCAAGGCTTCGGTTTGAGGGTGGGCATTAGGGTGATTGCGGCCTTCAGGGTAGCCGTACAGCACTGCTCCTGTCACCCAGGCTGATGGGGTGAAGAAAGAACCAAATTGCAACCGTCCGGTTTCATAGACATCCTGCGGCCAGGGTGTTGACAACGTCCTGCACGGAAAGGCAGAAGTGAAGGCCACACCAGCCCATTCCCCAGCATCGCTGGCCGCAGTGCGTTGAGCCATGGGGGCTCCTGTCAGGACATGCTTGTACCTGGATTGCATAGACTTCAAACTGCAAGCCAGGCCTCGCTTGGAACTGTTGGTCAGATGTGTCTCTGAAAGTGCCATCACGTCAGCTGGAACACTGCTCAAAACATGATACTTACCCTGTAGCCCCGAAGGGTTACCAATCCCCAGGCACCATGGAGCTTCTTCTGGTCCAGGTTTACGTGCTTCCCCAAGTCGGCACAGCATAGTAAACAGCAAAAGGGAAAAAATTGCCCGCACAGGTCTGAGAGACCAACGGGACACTCCAGAGCTGGGCACCGCTCTAGAGCTCCCAACCCCTCATTCGGTCCGGGGTTTCTTCGCCAAAATCTGCTCCAGCCGGGACATTTGATCAGATAACATGCCCTGCATCTGCTTGGACTGCATCTCGAGTTGCATCATCATCTGTTGTTGCAACCCCTGTACCTGCGCGGTGTTTTGGGCATGGTGGTCAGTGACCGTGGACTCCAGAATCGTTTGGCGACTTGTAAGTTGGTGCATCTGCTGCTCCAAGAGGGAGATGCGAGTGTCCTGATCGTCCACTTCCATGCGTTCTGCCTGGATCGGCATCTTGGCCAGGACCTTGGACTCGATCCTCTGTTCCAGCTCCTGAAGAGCACAGGCAGAAGGGGCACTTGCAGGCTGTGGCGGCAGCTGGTTGGCAGCTTGCTTCCATGGCTTGCACCATCTGTGACTGAGCAGAGCTGGACCGTGTTGGCTTGGCCGATGACTCTCATGTCAGGTTCTGGCATGGCTGCACGTGCATCATGTCGCGTGATGACAACCTGGCCGTGGTGCATGCTCATCACATTGGCTGGTGGCTCCACATTGGCCTGGACAGACCACATGAGTCCTCCTGGGGCGCTCTGCAGGGGCTGGAGCGGCCTGCACTCCCAACCGCTGGCCTTGAGGGTGCGTGCCAGCCCTTTGCGATCACTGCCATATGGCCATGGGCCGCAATGGAAAACCATCCGGGAGCCTGGTGCAAGGAAGACTGCGTCTGGTTTGACACTGGCAAACACTTGCTGAAAGTGAGTTGTGTGCACCCTTAGTCCATATCGGCGACCAGTTCTTGCAATGCCAACACAGTGAGCCTCGCATTTGGCCATGTGTGCCACTGATGCATAATCATGCTGTGGGAGCCAGATCACCTGAAAGTCTCCGCTAGGCTGGGCGGCGTCTTCCGTCTTCGGCTCAACATACACACCTTTTTGGCCACTGACTGCGACAACCTGGGGTTCCAGCGCCTTGATGTATCTGACCATAACAGCGAAGGATGCGGCCTGATCCCACTTGACAGGCCGGCCTGCCTCATTGAGGTATTGGCGCCTGAACACATCCAAGAGTGCATCATGGGGTCCATCTGGAGGCGGATGCCAAGCAGGGCAAGAGCATGATTCCATCTTGCAAACCTGGAGTGCAGGGAGGGCAGCAAGGATATGCTTGATCGGCTTGGCTGCAAAATCCTCCCATTTACCATCCCACTGGTCAGCAAAAACAGTGACCCTGGCGCAAGCAACGTCAACAGACATGATCGCAGGGGTATTCTGGGCCTTGTACTGATAGATAACTGCTCCTCCCAGTTGGACAAGGGCACCTGTGAGCAGCATGGGCTCTTGGTTCAGGGCACATCTGGCAGCGAATCTGACAGTGGCATACTGCAGATTGGTCGGCAGGTCTTTGGGTGGGTTCAGGATCAGCAATGCAAGTCCACGGCTGGTCAGCAGCTTGTCTGCTTGCAGAAAGGGAGTGGCATCAGCAAAGTTGGTCAGGGCAACTCCTGTCACTAACGGTCCAATCTGAGCAAAGTCCACTTGGCAAACTGGCTCATCATGCCCTGTGCAAAATGCACCAGGGTCCAGCTGAATTTTGGCTGGGTCAAGTTCACGAGGGCGTGCAGGCATGGCAGGACGCTGACTCGTTTGCTTCTTGGGTTTGGGGTTCTTCTGAAGTACCCTCTGCTGTTGTTCATCCGGGAGGACAAGTTGCACAGGCGGCGATTGCAGGTTGGCCAAAGCTTTGAGGGACTTCCAAGGCGTACCCCCCGTGACGGCATTGGTAACTGCACTACGGCCTAGCCCCTGGACCACAAGTTTGGCTCTCTGTGCCGATTGTTCCAACGGGACCCCATGCAATTGCAGCAGGTTAGCAACAAGACCCAAAGTGTCTGGAACTCCAAGACCCCAACACCATGGACGCGGGACAACAGACAGGTCCATGATGGCGGCTGCAAAACTTTCCTGCAGGTCCCCATGGAGGGCAACAATGGCATCAAAATCCAAAGGCAGAGGCTTATCCAACAGGACATGGGCCAGGTACGCAAAAGCAGCAGCTCCGCAGTGTGTCAACCCAAAGGTGCGGCGAGTGCAAGTGACAGCAAATCCAGGCGAAGTCCAAGCTTGGCAGATAAGTCCATGCAGCGGGTTAAGTCCATCCACATCAACGCCGTCCACCTCCCAGATTGAAACAGAAACGCCACGTTGACCGCGAGTCCATACAACAGGAATCCAGTGATCTGAAAAAGGGACAACAGTGACCGCACAACAGCAAGAGTCCACAGACATGAACCAAGCACGCACTTGCTCAACAGTGCCCACACGGAGCCAACTGGCCGCAAGGACAGGGTCGATCATATGGACATCAGTGCGCCCAGACAACTTGATGCACGTACGGACATGAAGGAGCAGTTCATCATCTGCCATGGCGGGGCCCTGATTATGCAGGATCAACAAACGATTGTCAACACCAGCATGTTCTTGACGCATGATTTGGATGTGATGCAAGTCAGGCAACAAGGGAGGGACCAACGCAGCCAAAGAAGGACCTGACAAATGGGTAAGTCCACTGAGAGGATCTGGCCGAACGGAGCATGGAACCATGTCGACATCAACTGACTGAGGCACAGAAACACAACTGGCGGATGCGCTTTCGGATGCTGGTTCAGGCAAAGGCTCTGGAACTGCATTGTCGGTGGCAGGGCATGCAGGGAGGCCTTGACTGTGCAAGGCATCGGCAAAATTGGCACGGATGCAAAGCCCTCGGATGCAGTCATCATCACCTAAGGGACGGCCGGTAGCATCATCAGTCCATCCATACTGGCAAGCACCTTGGTTCAAAGCAGCTTCGGCAGTCCTGAGGTCACGCAGGGTGGCTGCTGTGGGTACCGGGAATGCCAGTTTCGTGGAATCAGGAAAAACAACCTGCACCATAGATCCAATGGTAGGGCTGGGAACTCCATCATTGAACAACTGCCTCACATTACCAAAGAGAATGGCTTTGATACTCTGAAGTACTGCGGGAGGGTCCACAGTGGGCAATCCCAAGGCATGTTGGATCTGCCATGCAACACTAGCACCTACCCACCCGGATTGGAGCGGTGAGGCCAGCTGGCCAATGGCGCAGATTCCAAGTCGCAAGTCCACCGTGTTCTGATACATACCTGGCACAAGTGGCATGGCATTCAGGAGGCTCAGTTCAGCAGGGTGAAAATGCCGGTACTTTGGGGGCCCTTGTGAAACTGGTACCGGAAGCACTTGACCAAAAACACCCCTCTGCAAAATCAGTTGGTCGCTGAAGCCGGTCGACCTGCAAAGGCATGGGCATGCTCTACTCTGACTGCCCCAACTGTGCAAACATGTTGGTAGTTTTCCGGAGGTCTGGACCAAATACTTGCGCATATGGGAGCCGTCCAAGGTGAATTGTCTGAGCTCTTCATCATCAAGGAGCAACTCACGCATCACTTCATCTGGCCACTGCTTAACATATGGCATGATATCACGGATGCAAAGATGCGGATGATGGGGCCATTCCGGGACACAAATGGGTGCAAAACAAGGGTGAACTGCAATAACCCACCAACGTGCACGACGGGCAACCCAATTGTCCTCAAGTCGAAGAGTCAAGTCCGAGACACGGTACCCCAACTGGTCTTCCAAAGCCCGCAAATGAGCTTGGACAAACTTGTTACTCTGGGCAGGGCAAACGCATTCAATGATGATGAGCGGGCATTGACACAAATGACCAAGCCTGAGTGTCGCAGGGAGAGTCGACGACCTGGCATCACTGGATCCACCTTGGCTGCCTGCGGTGGAGTATGGTTGACAACTGATACCTGCCATCAGTGAGAACGGTGGGTCAACGGAAGTCAACAGGGACTGAGCGCAGGCAGGACTGGTCAAATCCAAATTCAACACCGGGACATCTGGGTGGCACAAAGAGTGAAGGCGAGCGAGTGGTTGACTCCACTCAACACTGGCAACATGCTTGAAACCGGCAAAACCAAGTCCAACAGAGGAACAGGCAACACCAGAACACACCTCAACCAGACGGAACAAATCAGGCCCAGGACAAAGACCATGAGCAACGATTGTACTGGCATCGGTCAGGAGCAAGTCCACAAAAGGGGAACGCCAATCCACCAAGGCATTCAACACAGTCATCCTCTTGCATCCACGCACCTGGTCGGAGACTTCGCCATAGATCCTCACCTTCTGATCCCCGGGGTGTACAACACCTATGACCAGCTCATCTGTGAACAAAACCCCATCCACAACCAAGGAAATTGGGCTGCCCTTTTCCAGTTGGGACCATTCCGGGGTAAAAAGATCGTGCAAAGCGACATGTCTGTCCCAGCCGTTGCTATGATCCATGGGGCAATGTACGGCAAAACGCTCAAACTTTGGTATGAACCAGCCCCCCGCTGTACTGGTAGGGATTTGAGCCGAGGCTTAGGGGTTGAAACCACCAACCAGGGAACTATAGAATACTGTAGAGATCTATCATTGGTTATTAGAATAACTGCCATAAAGCCAACAGTGAAATTGCTAGTTGACTAGTTCGATATATCTGCGAACTCAAAACCCAACAGGTTGAAATTGGAGTTATGTTCACCAACTTAGCGATTCCGAACCGGGGCACCACCTTGAATGTGCATGGATGTGTCTGCAAATGGGGCCGCCCTGGAAGCAAAAATCTGCCGGAAAACGTGATTGTCATACCACAACAAAATGGGAACCAGAAAGTTGGAGATAAAACCAATGAAATGGCATTGTTTCTGCAAGCAAAACAGCTGCAGGAAAACATGGATGTATATTATGTATATGGTCAGTACTTGAAAAAAGAGGAGGTTGCCACGACTAGCATCTAGGCAATCCAATTTGAAATACCTTCCGGTGTCATTAAACATGGCTGATGCTTATAGGGGATTTCCAGCTAGCCATATATTTCCCAAGGGGTTCCCTTTGCTGTTTGGTAGCACTAGTGGGCTTTGGCAGCGCAAAGTGGCGAACAGGCCATCCTTCAACCAGAAGATGGAGTACCACAAGGTGGGAGAGATGGGAATCGATGAATTTTCAGATGATGATGAACCTGAAGAATCTTGAGATGCTCCATGTGTTTGAACTAGTGTTATTTTGTGTTACCCTCTGGTAATTTAACGTAGCTATTGAAAATGACCATTTATAGTATTTATAGTGGATTTTCCCATTAAAAATGGTGATTTTCCATAGCTATGTTAGTTTACCAGAGGGTATCTGCATTTCTGAGTCTTGCTGGTCTCTACTTCCATGTCATCCCCATGGATTTCTGGAAGGCCCACTCTTTCCCATCGAGCTCCGGGCGCCTGCCGAGGAGATTCTGAAGTTGATGGACGTGGTCGTCACCGGAGATGAAGTGAAAAGAGGGAAGCCTCAGCGACTTGGTGAAGGGCTTGTGCCGCGGGGAAAACATGGGAAAACCACTTCCGTTACGGGGGAACATGGGGGAACTATAGGCTCCGTGATGTCATGGGGAAACCCGCTAGTTGGTTTAGTACTTCTTTTATTTGCTATAGGCGTGGGAGTATGTACCAAGAAAATCTGAGATTGGCCATGGTTATCAAGATTATCAGGTGAACTACTATATCGTAATATGGTCAGCAATGGGGGTTATAATGGGTTATATTTTAGTTATACTGCAATATAATTGCCAGCCCTGCCGGCAGGAGCGCTTGGGTATGGCTGTACCAGATGAAACCGTTCACTCTATTCCTTTGGATTCTACAGTGTAGGTTTGCCGACTGAGAAAACACACCGGGTTTGGGCGCCCAAAAGACTGAACCCTAGGGTTGCTGACTGCCATTTGCATGTTTGTGGGTCCAAGTGGCTAGGAAACCATAGAATTTTCATGATTTGTTCGAATAAGCCAGAAGCATCCCATGACCAACCCACGAGCTTCCCATCTACACCCCATTGATCAAGCACAGCACTGGTAAGACAATAATCATCCATAATCCATGGAAGACCCCACTCCAAACACCTTCCGAGACATTTGGGATTGGTATTTGGGATTGGTTGGGGGTCCAAACACCGCCGGAGGGCTTTTAGAGCAACACAACTAGAAAAGACAGAGTGATTTCCAGTATCCAGTCACGGTCAATGGCCATTTCCGGGAGCTGGAGGTACCTACCATGTGTATATACCCTCTGGTTATTTAACATAGCCATGGGAAATGGCCCATAGAAATAGATGGTTTACATATTAAAACTGGTGATTTTCCATGGCTATGTTAAAAATACCCAGATGGTATACACTTAGGTGCTCCCATTTTTTACCCAGCACCATTATGCAATTTGCGCCAGTGGTGGTGCTCATATGTGCGCCATTATCATTATATATCCATATGTAAGGCCTATGTAAGTGCTAGGGAAATATCGGTGGAGATTTCATATTTCAGGCCAGACATTTTCCTGGAGGCCGCGCGGAGGCTGGGCAAAGATGCCACCAAGTGCTTAGTGTTTCCTGGCACAGATGGTGGGGCAAGGGATGACGTTACCCCAAATTGGCGCTTGGAAAATATAGGTTTGTCTGAAAATATGGTATATTCCCAATTATAGCCATTTAATAGGGATAATGATCATTAACCATTGGGATTAGGGGTACACTATTTTCAGACACACCCATATTGGAGAATATATAAATTGGTTTTTCACTTGGGGTAACTTGACCGTTGCTACTGACATTGGGTTTTGTTGTCAATCGTCGTGATGTTGTTGTTTCTTCAATGCTTGTGGGGTTGAGAATCCGTAACTTTCTGTCCCATGCTGACAACATAAAAAATAGCGGGATCCTGCCTTTCAGCCTACAGGATTTAGCTGTGCGACAAGTAATTCAGTAAATCTCACGTATTGTATCATAGCTGTAGGTTGCTGAGTTGGTATTTGTGGCTTTCATTCAGTATAAACTCAGACAGACATTTTTTGAATCATGGTGCCGGCTCCAAATTTTCTTGACCCACCGCAGTGGATGTTTTTTTGGGCAAGCTTTCTGAGGTTCGAAGACTCCGCCTTGGGCATTGCTGGAGCACAGGCGTTGTGGTCATCCCGCTTAGGACTTGGTGGTGAGTTCGAAGCAAGTTGGAAATGTGGACATGTCCAAACCTGGGGGCCCTGGAAGTGGTAATCTTGAAAGATCTTAAAAGGAAACTTTGTGACTGGCTAGCGGGTTTGGAGTTTAGAGCTACAGAAATGTTGGACCAACGAAAAAACAAGTTCACCAGGTATATATTTTACTATCTTATATTGCTTCTATTGTGTCTCCTGATGTTGGCTTCACGCCAAAATGTGCCAGTGGATTTTCAGCTGGCGAATTTGATCTTAGCTACTTCCGGGCAAAATCCAACCTGATCATTTTCGCAAAGAAACCATGAAACAAACCCCCAAAAAAAAACGCCTTTAGCTCCGACTCCTTGAGAAGGCGATGGAGAGAGAGATCCTGGATGTTTTTCCCCATGGGATTCTCATTTTTGATGGATTTTTGTCGCTGATTTTTCCAAAGGAAACATTGTTTATCACCAGCCCATGGATGGCCAGGCGGCTGGCAGCTTGACAGTGGCCCTTCCGGATCCGAGGCTAATGATAGCTAAGTTGGTTTATAAACCCCATGAAAACTATAGTTATAAGTACCATAAACCATAGCTATTGGAATTATGTGCACCAACTGAACGCTATCGTTTGGGGGCACCACTTTGTACCACCCATTTATATCCATTCATGGTAGTATGATGTATGATGATACATTTTATGATTTATTTTGTAGTGTTGACTTAGTATTGGGGATGGGGCCATTGTTTTTAAAACATTTGCCTTTGCCACATAGATGAAGCTGCAGTTGATATGGGAAGGTGAACATTTCAGCCCCGGGGGATCGAAGATTTTGGTCAGTCTGAGATGCAACTGCCCAATTGTCACCGATGCTTGCATGATTCAACAGGAGATTCATTTATAACCATTTAGAAAAGAGAAGACATGTCAATGCAACATATTCCATTGCCAGAATATATAGATTGCATTAGATTACCCGTGGGCATTTAATTTCTTGTTTCCATGAAGATCGCTCCTTATTTTTTCAGAGAGGTTGAAACAGGCAGCTCCGTTCTATCATTCCGGTGAGTCTGCAGATTTTTCTCCTGATTTTCCGCGCAATATAAACTCGAACGCGCCCTCAAGCCCTGGTTCCTCGCGACGGCAGGTTTCCTGAGAACGCTCGGAAGCTGGCAGATCTGAAGCCCACCTGGCTGTTGAAAGATGGCATTGGTAACTTGAAACAACTTGGATACAGGTGGTTTTTAACCATAGTTGGTTGTTATACATTACCGTAATAAACCAACCATAGTTAATGATAGTTTAACCAACTATGGCATAGGTATGACGTGGTTGTTTTGCACCTGGGAAAATGGGGATGGCAATTTCAACGAAAGATGGCAATTGTTCCATCAGGGAAACCTTCGAAACTGATGATCAACCTGGCGGGATCAAAAGGTACCCGATTTTCAGACAAAGTCATGGAAGATTTACATGTTTTTACCGTCCGCCTGCCACGGAAATCGCCAGAAACCAATGAAATCGAGTTGTTTTGCGTTTTTTTTTGGTGATTTCAGTGTCTCAACACCTGAAAGTACCTGGTAGGTGGGGAAATATGGCAGTGGCACTCAGGACAGTTCGACCCTGAGGAGTTGGAACTGGAGATCTGAGAACGATGGCCATGGGCCAAAGGCACTCGTAGCTGGTGCATCCAACCAAAGTTGTGGAGACACCCAGGAACATCCTCGCTGCGGAGGAAAAGCCTCACAGATTGGCAAGTCTTTGGTGGATTTTCGGGGTGAGTTCTGGCCCCTAGCTTTCACCAATTCTCTTTTTTGGAATCGCTCCCAGCTTTGGATTCTGGGCCTTAAAATCTACATGGCTGGTAGATTTTCCCTTTACCCAAAGGTCTGACAGGTCCCAATCGGACCAGATGCATCGGGCTGTGGCCATTTATCATCCAAAATCATGAACCCAATTGGACTTAACGAATTCTAACGCCATCCCCCCAGTCATGTCTAGTTCCGCCATATGGGGCCCCGTTTAGTTGCCATAGATCCATATCCATCCAGGCGGAAGAGCAGAAGCATCGCTTCCCTCTACCACTCTCCAGGCCGGGACCTCCCAGCCAAGGAGAGCGACTCTCCGGCATGGCAATTGGAAACCCATAACTGGTTGGTGGTTTGGAACATGTTTTATTTTCCATTTCATATATGGGATGTCATCCTTCCAATTGACGAACTCATATTTTTCAGAGGGGTAGGGTTGAAACCACCAACCAGTTATAAATCAAAAATGAAGGTGTTTGAATGGAAACATGGAAGCATCACCTATATACAGAGGATTTTTGTTCAATGCCACCTTTGATTACCGGTGAGTTTTCCCCAGCGGTTGACCGTGGTTGACCTGGCATTGTCCCGGCACTGGCCAGGCCAACGACATCCACGCCGAAGCAGCGCAATTCTTCCTTTGGCCTGGCTGGGTGGTCAGATGGGAGATGCGATGAGATGCGGCTGGAACCAGTTGTGCCAGGATGTTCTATAGCCATCTATACGATGCACTGCTACACCAGGATTTCTCAAAGAGTATGCAAGATTGGGGGCGCGAAAACACAATGGTTTTCATTATATCAAGTTCATATATATATATATATATATTATATATATAGAGATATCCAAACTATATCCAAGCCAAAACAATATCACCATATTACCACCATATTATCACCATAAAGTTCTTGGTTTATGTTACAATGTTGCCCTTTTAGTTTCATAGCCCAGCTAACCACTGAAGCCGCGGCTTCAACGCAGTATACTGAGGCTGGGGGATCCTCACCGGCAACACGGCCAAGGATGATGTTACTCGGCACTTTTCTTGGGAATCAATGGGAATCATATGGGGATTTCCATAGGGGGTACCCCAAATGGATTGTTTTTTTGATGGAACATCTCATGAAAATGACGGGGTATCCCCCATTTTAGGAAACCTCCATGTCGAAATGGCACTGTTTGTTTTTTGTTTCCTCCAGCTTGTGAATTAATTCTGACATAAGTGGTTGAGATGGATATGCCTCTCCCCGTTTGAACAGAGGTTGAGGTTTTTACTGTTTGGTGCACTTGAAGAATAAGAAGAAAGTTGAATCGTTGGTTGGATGAGAATAGAATATAATAGAATCAGCTATTCACTGTTTGTTCCATCACTCCAGATGTGGCCATTTTTTGTTGATCTCACAATCGCTCGGTGGCGTTTCAACACGTGGAACAGTTCCAGCTCCAAGATCCGAGGTCTGGAATGTCTGACGCAACGGAGGCAGGCCAGATCCAAGGTTGAGGTCTTTCCTAGCTCAGCAAAAAGTGGGGAGAGATGTCTAGTTGCTTATGACATCTTATGACAAAATCAATTTTGGTCATGTCATCCTCATATATTATATTATATATATCATATATATATATATATGTATTATATATATATATATCATATATATATATGATATATATATATATATATCACACACATATATATATATATCATACATATATATATAGAGAGAGAGAGACGTATATACGTATTGTAATATCTCGAAGTGTGCCAAAGCCAATTTTTTTTTAAGCCATCCCAGAGAGAATCACCATCAAGCAGGGTGGTTTTCCATGCCACATGATCCGCAGCTTTAGCAAAAAGCGGCTCGAATCATCCCAGCCATCATGGCCAAAGGGGATGGCAAGTCGAAAGGTCATGGCAAGGCCTGTCACGGCTGTCATGGAAAAATCATGAAATGCTGCTTTGGAGATACTGAAAACATCTGAAAACTCTGAGTTTCTGTGACTTACTGTGGGCTGCGGTCGAAATTTGCACGTCATGCAATTTGTATTTCAAGAATCACTATAGTCACTATAAGAATCCATAGTCCTGAGCAGAATCGCCTGCATGTTCCATGCATTTCTTCAGCCGGCGCTTTCTTCGTACAGGACCCCGCGGGGCGCGTGGGGAACCGAAAGTTCAAGATGGATCTCTGCACCTACCACATGAGCGGTCGATGCGACTCCTGTCCGGATATGGCTGGTTTTCGGAGAAAAGGCACATGGAAAACTCATGAAAACTCACCATTGATAGACGATTTGTATGTTGAATATTGGTAGATGATAGATTTGTATGTTGAATATTGAGATGTTCATACATGTTCTAGTTTTTCCATTTAAACACCTGTGTTTTGCAACAAATGTTTTCAACGGTTGCCAAATACAGACAAGTCTGTGCACAAAGTGGCAGGCATAATTGTGAGCTCAGCATCCATCA